CGTTAATCCGGCCTCGTCGGGACTTCCGGATTATCGATTTTTCCAGATTATAGATCCTCAGTTTAAATCTGGTAAGATGGCATGCAGAAATTATAAAATTAAAAATATGAAACCGTAATTTATGAAATAAAGAACAATTATGATCTAAAGGGTATCAAAATTTACAAAAAAAAAAAGCTTAATATTTATTTGTTTACTTTATTAAACATTTCTTTGAATGTAAGTTGTTTAAGATGCTTCGTTTTATGTGATAATATTTTCTCTTTAATTCTATAAATAGACATAATTTCTTGTTCAGTTACAAAGTTCCGCTGTTCAAGTCCTATAATTGCTGTGTCGAGAATACCGACTAATTTGTGAATCGAAATTTTTTCGTTTTCAATAACCTCTGTGTCACTTTCTTCACAACTATCGGAAGCGAATTATAATGCTGAGTGACAGATCAACTTCCAATTCATTGCGTGCTGCTGCACCCCCCCCCCCCCCGACGCAGAGCAGTGTCAAATTGATAAACAAATTTCGGAAGGGTTAGAGAAACGAAGGATATGCCTTTATCCATTTTTTGCAGCAATACCTCTTTTTGTTTAATGGTCTTCGAAACATACTTTCGCTTTGTAGATCCTTTACATATTAGTAAATATATATTGGAAATTCTATTTGACATAATCGAAAGTTCAAGCTTACTTTTATAAAATTGCTCTAACAGTCTGCAAAAAATAATAAGCCGGATCCAATTCGAAGATTAAGGAACAACGCAATCTGCAACATTAACTGAAATAGATAATTTTAGCTTAGCTTATACCGTCCGTTATATATTAAACGCGCATGCGTACGTATTATGCGCATGCGCACACGCATATTCGCAGCCGTAAAGGTCAGCGCGATGCATGCGCAGAAAGTTTGTAGCTTTGAGGTCCGAATTAACGACTTTTGACTGTATATAATTTTAGCCCTTTTCAGCACCCTACCTTTTAAAGATGGAATTTCAACAACAACAACATCACCACACACACAGAAAAAGGGGGGGCAGTCTAATCAGGCCTAGAGGAGTGCACAGGTAAAATTTTGTAAAGATAGCACTTAACATTTTAATTCTATGGCTGTGCCCGAAGCCGGCTCACTGAATGAATAGAGCTTTGAAAAGAGTGCTGAAGTGAGCATTGCTGGGAAGTGCGTAATATAGTAAAAGATTTTTCCTATGATTAAAAAACACTAGATTCAGATTACTGTAGCAGATTTAGCATTATCCAGGTGTCCTGTGGGGAGGCCTGCTACTCTACACACCTCTACACATATTTACCCTTTCATCTATTTCTTTCATGGTACTTTTCAAAGCAAGTGACACCACCTTTGAAAAAGCACAACTCAACGTCACATGTTTACCGAGATCCGTATCAGATTCACTATCTGAAGGCAGTTCATTTAGCACATTCAGTGCTTCAGAAATGATCAGCCCTCTCTGATACATTTGCAAAATAATTAAAAATCAGAAAAAATAAACTAATATTATATTTACAATTAAGAAAATATAAACTATAAAATGAAATAAGAATCTATAACTCAAAACTATCAAAATGCAGAGCTAACAAAATTTCTTTCAACGACAGTGAAAGAAAAAAAAAAAGGAGTGAAAAACCAAAGAATTCTAGTGAAAAATCAAAGAACTGACTGATAAACTGAGCTTCAGAAAAACACCCCAACAATTTCTTAGTTGATAACCAAGCCTCCCTTCCAAAAAACAATAACAAGGAAAAAAAAGAAAGAAAAACAGGAAATGAAATACAGATGAGGGGATCACCTTTCTATTGTGAATGAGCTCACCAGAGAACTGCAGTGAAGCAGATACAGTTGTTGGTCTGTTCTTAGTGTTTTAGTGATCCCACTCTGGGCACACCGAATGTTCACCGTTTGATTTTAGGCAAGATTTCAAGGTAGAGATCAACTTACAGCCAAGAAAATAACATAGAAATTTCTTTTCAAACAATTAATTTTATATCTTAAAAATAATCTGGAAGATTTCTTTGGAAAATGAGGGTCTTTAACAGCTGTGCATGCGTGATATATCTGTCGCCAAAGCTCGAAACCGGTATCAAAGTTCGAAGGTCACATTATCAAAAGTTCATAAAATGAATATCGTTTAAAATTTCTTTAACCACTTGCGCTAATAAAACGTGCCACGCACGTCGAGATGCTTTTGTCTCAAACCGCGAGTGATGTGAACACCACGTCAATAGGCATTTATCACAAAAATGAAAATAATGTGGTGCACACGTCGCCTAACAACGAGATTTTAGTTGTAGCACAAGTGGTTAACCCTCTCACTGTGTATCCTGCAATTTCCATGGGCAACATAGAAGTAGCGAAATTTGCGCAACCTGCGATTTCCGTGGGGTTGCATATTTTTCGTTTATTTAACTGTGCAACCCGTTCTTTTCCCGTTCATGGCTTCATTTCAGCTTTTTTGTGATGTTTAATTATTTATTCAGATTTGGGTTAACAGATAGCGTTAGTTGTCCATATTTTTGCGAAATATACAAACACATTTTGTTCAACTCTCAATCAGACTAACTGCTCGACATTTTGCTAGATATATATTCCCCAATTCCATCAAAAAGGAACTCATAGACATTGTGCTATTTGTTTCTAAAAAAACAAACTGAAACTGGCAAAAAAAATTTCTCAAAACACACATATTTGGTGCAAAGATGGCGAGATAGGATGCTTTGAGCCTTGTTTCGATATTACACTTCATTTCTAATAAATGTTTTGTAAATATTTTCGTATTTTCATTATATATTTTTTATCATTATATTTTATAAAATAAATCATAATTTAACCAAGATTAATTTCATAATTTAACCAAGATTAATTTTCAAAATTTTTCTTTTATATGATTATTCTTCAGTTTAAATTTTCCGAGAACCATTTTTTATGAGCTAATTCTATACTGGGGGGGAAAAAAAAAAAAAAAAACATCTTGTACAAAAACTTTTTGTATATTGTAACTCTAAAATATATGTAGATTTGAAATATGTAATTAAAAAATTATGCAATTTTTGAACCTATTTTGATAAAAATTTACGCAATGAGAGGGTTAAAAACTAAACATGGATAAAATGTATGGATTGGTTTGTGTTCTGCCATCTAGTATAAATAAAGAAGGTTCAAAGTAGCCTAAATCGTTTTTCATTCAATTTTTCTGCATGTACAGAGGGAATTTTTTAGATGTGCCTAGACTGGGCACACTCTACTGGAAAGGGTTAACAGAATCAAATTAAAAATTTCAGTTAATCCATTAACTAAATGAAATTTTTATCACTTAGAACAGCTGGAACATTTTAAGCTAAGGCTGCCTTGTCAAAATTCACAGAACTGTTATTGGCACTTGTAAACATTGCCCAAATAGTCAAAACACTTTTATTATATATTTACTCCACATTTCTTTGCAGCATTTATTTGCCTTTTTTATAAGTACTAAATATTACATCTCTGATGAAATTTTCTGTTACTGCTATTTTCGCGAGAAACAGTTAAAGCCAGAATAAATACCCTTGTGCTTGTAGGCAATTCAGAAGGCATTTCAGAATTGTTTGTTTCTTTGTAAGGCAATTCAGAATTTGTCTGAATGGACCTGTCTTAGTTCAGTTATACATACAATATTCATTATGCTGAATTACTTAAGAGTAATTTATTTGTAACATAAAATTGACTGCATTATGTATTCAATTATTAAAAAAATAGAATTTGTTGCCCCAGATTCTACAAACAGTATGAGGACTTGCTGTATGAAGCATGCAGTAACAGTTAAGGATGACCAAACTTTTCGCTGAACCATCTGAAATTGTCGTTTCCTAGTTTACTTTCATGCTTTCGTGAAAATGCTATGTATCTTTAATAAGTAGCATGTTACTTTTTATTTATCAAATATATCTTACATCAGTGGTGCCCAACCTTTGGCCCATCGTGAGCACATTTCCAAAACATCAACATTTTTGTTAAACATATTTCCAATCTTATGTGATAGATGTGAAATATTAATTTCGGCAAATGGGTTTGAGATGAATAATAATATTGGTTGAACTTTATGGAAATCAGAGAAGCAGAGTTTAAAATTATTTTTCAGTGCATTTAGGTTTTCAATTTAGGTTTCAATTGCCTTGTGGTGATTAATACAGCTTTATAAATTCTGAAAAGTGGTGAAATTATTTTCTTTCATCTGATTTATCCACAAATTTAACTTTATCTGAAAAGCAGTTACATTCCCAGTCAATTGAAAAAGCGTTTTTTCTTTTCCCCGGAGATCTTCGTTCAGTTTAGCTGTTATATCTGTGAGAAAATACAGATCGGATAACAATTATTAACGTCTAATTCTTTATAACTTTCATTTTTGGATTTCAAAAACTGCTTTATTTGTGAAAGAAGTTCTGCAAATCGTTAAAGTACTTTTCCGCTGCTGAGCCATCTAACATTGGAATGAAGCAATAAGATTTCATGTTTGCTATTAAGTTCATCAGTCAGCAGTCAATTATTTTATAACGTCTTGCAAGATATCTCTTATGACTATAAATGTTTACCATATTTTAACAATGAAGAAATATAAATGAATAGTTATTTTTAAAATATATTTTGTTCATAGTACCTAATGAGGCTGGCGAGCACATATAAAACGATCGGCGAGCAGTAGGTTGGGCACCGCTGTCTTACATGTTTATGTATTTAATTACATTAAAATAATTGTGTATATGCGACAAGCTAATTGTTCAGGGTGACTTATGCAACCCAGTGGCCCACGGTAAAGAAAGCAGATTTTCGGGCAATGCTAGCCTTAGTCCATTAGGGCTGTTACACAACTGAGTTTATTTGTGTATATATTGATATATTCTTAATTTTTTCTTACAGTTTTATACAAAAGTTAAATATAAGCTGATAATATGTAATTTTTTAAAAGTTTTATTTATTTATCTTAGCAAGTATACATGAATTTATGTGTGTATTTACAGGTTTCCTATCCAAATTGATATGGAGTCTTCCAATATAAAAGGCCTTATACAGAAAGCCAGCTCAAGTACTGTGTTTTTTTTCTCCAACCGTGGCAACAGTTGGTAATATTCTCTTTTTATATCTTAGCATTTTAATCTGAATAAATTTTACCATATGTGTCTGATTCTATATGTGTGTATTTCATATAATGTATTTATTTATGATCTCACCTTTAATGTTTTATTTAGTGTTAGATATGAAGTTAAAATGTTGTAGTTAGTTATTTTATCTAAATTTGGGTTTAAAATCAAATGGGAGAAAAAAAAAAAAAAAACTGGAGGTGTTCGTATTTAAAAGTGCTAATTTAAACTTAAGTTATGGTTTATCCATTTATCGGTAGAGATGGCCTAGGTGAAATACCGAAACATTTTATAGAACGTTAGATGATTTAACATTTACACAAACATGGGAACATTGCTATGATCGTATACTTACAAATTGGAAAAAAAATAAAATTATTAATAAAAAATATTTATTTTTTACAGATGATCCGAATTAAATGCATTGTGTTTAAATTAAATTAGGTTAAAAAGTAATACGAATAAGATTTTTTAATTCAAATATAATAATATATATTTGTTTTCAGTTCTTTATAGTTAGAATTCCTTAGTGAGATGTTCTAATTATTCTATTAGAATACTTTTTTTTTCCTTGCTTGGGGAAGGACCGGAATTCATGCGAACTATATAATAAAAGGTCATCGGCTAATCTGATACAGAAAACAAAGGATTTTTGTAGAAGAGAGAGATTTCAATTAATTTTCATCCCCCCCCCCCGATGAAGTGACATTGGAGTTGCTTGAATTCTTCTTCTGTTTGTGTTAATTTTTCATCAAATTTCATTAATTTTTTAAAGTGGGGTTTTGCTTATTTGAAATGTTTTCGTTTTAACATTTTAAAATTCTTTATTGAATTTATATGATTATTTGAAATTTAATGATTATGAATTTCAATTTCTGGTCTTTGTGAAATATTAGTTCTAATTTTCTTATTTTGTCTTCAATGATAATTTATCTGCAGCTTAATGCACGAAAATAATAGGCATGTTTGTGTTTTGTTTTCAAAAGAATTGTTTTGTAATTATGTATATATTCGAGAACTGGATCTATTGCATTTAAAAAGATTTAGTTTGTTAATTAATAACAGAGAGATTAAATATGGAAGAATAATATCTTACATTTTTTGAATGGCAACAGAATCGAATGAAAAGTGAACCCCCAGGTATTAAAGTGAAATAAGCAAAATTGTGTTTCAAGATTTTTGGGGTTAATAAAATAAAAATCTATAAATGTAAAAAATGAATTTTTAAAGATAATTTTGTTACTACCACATGATAAGAATATATGAGAATAAAAAATGTATTTATGCTAAGCATTGTATGAGACTATGTTTATAATTTAAATTAAAAAAAAAATATTTACTTAAACTTCTGTCTCTTTTTGTTTAAAGTAATCCCGAAACCATATATGCCATCATTTTTCTGCTACACTTAAAATGTATGTATTTTTTATGATTTTATGGAGTTACTCATCAGTAAATTATTTATGTATGTAACAATTTTATTATTGTAGTTGCTTAGTAATTTTTTTAAGTCAAAATTTTCTTTCTATCTTTTTTAAGTTAAATTAAAACTTTCTCAAAAAAATTTAATTTTGTACTCTGGAGGGGGGAGGTGCAAATACATCTGCAAGTACATAATTTATTTACTGCATTAAAAAAATATATGTGAGCAAAAGAGGAATTAAGTAATAAAATTTTTCTTTACCTGTAGTACGGCTGAAATAGGAAATTTAGACATGACTGTTGAAGAAGTAAAGCAAAATATATTAGCAGCAGTCAAAGTTCTTAGTGAGAGGGTACCTGGAGCTTATGACAACATTATGGGAATACATGTGAAAACTTTAAAATCAAAAGCAGTTCCCATTTATATGTCATATGGTGAGTATAGTTGTGTCATATTTCCTAACATAAGTTGAATATTGGAATTAATTTAAAATTTTACTTCAGGTCTTTCAGAAGTTTTGAAATGAATTTAATTCTTTTTTGTTTATTTTTTCTTAAACATCATAAAATTATCAACAAAAAATTCAGTTAGATTAAATGTCTGTCAGTCTTGTAATATCCATTTTTGACAAATCAGTTTTAGATAATTCAATAAAAACTGTATATTCTTTTAATTCATTTTAATGTATAGATGTGACCAAACTGTATACTGGGAGGTTTGACACCACTAACTGCAACAAATTTTTAAACTTCTAATTTAAATTTTGCTCTGTAGTATTTTTTTCACCATGGTTCTAAAAATTTTTGATATACTGCATTTGTAGCACACATCAAAAGCAACTTCTAATTAAAGAATCAAATTGAATATTGATGATAAAGCCATGATTATCTCGCATAGCATGATGTGTCGGCCTTAATTACTTTGTAAAGCCCCAGGAGTTCCTCATATGAATAAGTCTTGGTCACAGTTCCCACAAAAAACATCAGAGGAAGGAAGGAGAATTGTGTGACCAAAAGACCTGGATTTCGAATGATCAAACACATAAGCAGCAGACAAGGCTGCAGTGAGCTGGAATATAAATGATAGAAGTAAGGGAAAATGTGTTTCAAAAGTTTAAGTTTGATAATAACACCCTTCGCATCTGAGCAGCTTAATGAAGATATGTTTCAAATAATAAAATGGATGAAATGCTAATGCAAAAATGCAAATACAAATTGAATGCATTGAATAAAATTAATCAAGGGCATACAATTTATCAATAAACTAATCCCGGTTGGCACAACTATGTACAATAAGATTATTTTTTAGTTTTCAGAATGTAGTACTGAAAAATTAAAGGGAATACCCAAAGAACTGTGGTATTGTTATTCATTTCATTAGTTTTTAGCAAATGAAATATGTGAAAAGTATTTTTTCTGATAGTAAATACAAGAAACTGTTAATGTATCTTTGCATTTAGAAATTAAGGAAAATTTGTTATAGTTAAGCAGTGTACATCTGACAGGTTTGTACAGTCCTTGAAAGAGTTTATGAAAGACCTTAGTTTTATTTTGGGCGGGGAAGGGGGGAGATTTTTGGTCATAAAAAGTTCTTAATTTCAGCCAAAATTAGCAGAAGGTCCTTAATTTTAATCATCTAAAATTTCTGTCTGTTGTACAACTGTCATTTGAGTCTAAAGTAGCATTTTGGAGGAATATTTTTTTGATGATTCATCAATAACTATGTATTGATGGGTCTATCATGTGAATTTGTTCCTATTTCTAATAGGAAAATACTCAAGTTTCTGGGCAAAAAGTGAAACATAAGCATTTCAGAATTTATTCTTTTTTTGCTAATGAAGAGCTCATAAGCAACTTTTCCCTTTTGGGCAAGTGAATTCTTTTATTAAAGTCTCTAAATTTAGCGACTTATCAGCATTTTGGTGATTTTAAGATCAATTTCTGTACAAATTTTTTAATTTAGAGATTTGTGATTTTTTTTTTACTTTTTTAAAACATATCATTGATAAATTTCATTAAAATGTAACATATAAAATTATATTTAAGAAATAATGCTAAAAAACATTTTTATTTTTCCCCGTCATATTTTACTTTCCATTTTGGTGACTTAGTAGACAATTTTTAATCTGAAAAATAAACAAGTTTATTATTGCGATGAACAGCATAGTTTACGAGCAGTTCTTAGCAAAAGCAAAATATCTATGTAATTGTTAAAAATTAAAAAAAAAAAAAAAAAAAAAACTCATATTAAGAATCTAAATGTATAATCATTTGTAATGAGACATAAGGCTTGTAAAGAAAAGTATTCTCCATAAATAAGTTTGTTACAAAATAATACAAGATTGAAAACTAAATTAAACAAAGGAGTAAAGAAAATCGCAGTTGTAATCGTATCAAAAGTAAATTGGCTAATCGACTATTTTCATTTACTTCAACTTAAACATAAAGTATTAAAAGAACTGGAACTATGTGAGAAATAATTCCTGTCTTTAAAACAAGGTAATTTTATGTAAGTGTGCTTTTAAAGTTTGTAAAAATCAGTTAAAAATACAAATTGCAGAAAATATTTCATGCAAATCCTAATTATCCATTAGGAACGGAAATAAAAGAAACCAGTAATGCAAATTCCATATGCTGTTAATGTTTTTTTTAAACAGCTCAAAATTTAATGTCTTTCTTAGTTAATGAGATTTTAAAATATGGAAAAGTATCAATTCAAAAGTAAAATATTAATTAACAGTTCATATTTTGAAAAATGAAATGTAACAAAAAATTTCAGTGGAATAATATGTTCATTAAGAATATATAACCTACATGCCTATATTAATATTGCTAAGAGTATTGATAATAAAATTTAAATGGAATAGTATTTTCATCCATGCAGTTAAGGTGACAAAATAAAATACATATATTAGGTAAAACATTTCAGTGCAAAATTCTTATTACTGTGGGAGTAATGCTCAGTCTTCATGATGCATTTTTATTGGTATGACCTTCAGAATCTGTTTATAAAAGAGTATACATTTAGGTGTTGGTGGAAGCTCCTTTGTCAGGGACTAAAAGCATCATATAAAACCTTCAACCCTCTTTGTTTATTAATGGAGGGATGTAAGGAAGTTGTGGATCTCAAATCAAATTTCAAGCATATATATTAGCAAAGGATTATATAACACAAGATTTGTGTTGAGGGGGTTATTCACTTGGAGAAAGTGATACCCCAGATTTTTTTTTTTAATGATCTTGATACAACCCCGCTCTGAAGAGAGTGCAGCAAATTAGGCCATAAATCTCCTCTTTTCCTACATTTCGGGGGTTGGAAAACACAAAGCGGCGAGTTTCTCGAGGAAGATACAAGCTACATTTAACGCTAATGAGTGTGTCTCATTGATGACAACACTTCTTGAATCAGTGAGTCTGTCTTGGGGGAAAATGGTGAAGTGATTAAGCTTCTCTAAATATCTATAGCTACTATATAAATGAAACCATATATGAAAAGAAATCTTAATGTACTCTACCTAGTTTTTCTAAGACTTCATATATCCTTGTATGCAAAATTTAATAAGAAACATGCTATAAATGTATCTCATTTATAAAATTATTGATAAGCGATTATTTACACATCATATATGTAACTTTTCTTAATATTATCATTTAAGTAGGAGACTTATTATATACAAATGCCAATATAAAAAAGGCATGTGAATGTCAAAATATTTATATCCAAAATGTGTAATCTTTCAAATGCTATATTTTGTTTTATAGGTAGTCCTAATGAAGTGAAATTTGAAAATTTTAAGGTAAAAGAATTAGTTGAAGCTGAAGAGTTAAGCACTTTGCCAAACAAAAAAGTAAAAGTATTTAGAGATGGTAAAATAATAGTTAAAAATTGTAAAAATGAAAGTGAATCAGAAGACAATTCTGATGTAAATGATGAAGATTCCTGTCCAGAATCAGCTGACAACGATGAAAAGGCAGCAATTCTGGACTCTGATGAAAAGTCTGAAAATTCAAATACTGTAAAAGTCAGTAATTCCAAAGGTAAGAAGTCACTGAAAAGGAAAAGGATTTCAAAGAAAATTGTTAAAAATAATACAAGTGAAGAAAATAACTATCCTAAAGAAGAAACTAGAAGTGATGACAATGTTGTAAGAGTCGCTAATTCCAAAGGTAAAAAGTCACTGAAAAGGACTTCAAAGAAAATCATTAAACAAATTACAAGTGAAGAAAATAAATATCCTAAAGAAGAAACTAGAAGTGATGATAATGCTGTAAAAGTTGCTAATTCCAAAGGTAAAAAGTCACTGAAAAAAACTTCAAAGAAAATCGTTAACCAGAATACAAGTGAAGAAAATAAATATCCTAAAGAAACTAAAAGTGATGACATCAATGATATTAAAGAATGTAAGTCTATTCAAGAAAATAATTATAATCAAAAGCTTAAGAAATATAGGAAGAACTGTAAAATTACAGGACTTGAGAAAGAGATTAATACAGAGAAAGAAAAAAGCTCACAAAAAGAAACTGTAATAGATAATTTTGCTGCTGAAGAAACAAAATTAAAAGGAAACAAGTTGATTGAGAAACAAAATAAAAGACAACCGGAGAAAGAAATTACAAAAGGAAATAGACCTCTGGAAGATGTAAATCTATCTATAAAGCAATCTAAGATAAATGAGGGAATAGACAAATCTCCTAAGAAAGCAATTACTGGTAAAAGAGAGTATCTAAAAAGGAGACAATTTTATAAGTTAAAGAAGAGACTGAAGTTGGCTGAAGAGTTGAAGAAAAAACAGAAAGAGTCCGAATCACCTAAGAACAGAAGTAAGTTAATTATGCTTGCTTTTTTTTTTTTTTTTTTTTAAGTTTTAGATTTTAAAAAAATTAAGTTACAGACAATAGTAAAATTTATGAGCTGCTGTGTAATGAACTTAAGAGACTTTTTTCACTGAATCTGATCTGATAAGAAAAATAGATTATCTCATAAAAAAGTGTAAAAATTCTGTGTAATTTTACACAACAAATTACTTAGCATAAAAATCATTGTTCATTCCTTCCCTCGAATTACACATTTCTATCTAAAGTATGCATTTATAATTATTTTATCTATAAAAAAATATAAAACACTAAAAAATTAAAAAAAAAAAAAAAAAAAAAAATATTGATGAATTTCCCTATTATTTCTGACTAAAAATAATCTACTGGCATGATGTGGATTGTTGGAAAATTTTATCATTAATTTCTGTTTAAAAATTAAGACTCCATTACTGTTGCTTTTACATTTTGTATCAGTAAAAACCTACTCATGACACACATCACAACTGTGGCATCCATTTTGCAGTAGGCAGGGTTGCCACGCTACCTGGAAAACTGGGAGAACCGGAAAAAAAAAATAAAAAAAAAAAAAAAAAAAAAAAAAAAAAAAAAAAAAAAAAAAAAAAAAAAAAAAAAAAAAAAAAAAAAAAAAAAAAAAAAAAAAAAACAAAAAAAAAAAAAAAAAAAAAAAAAAAAAAAAAAAAAAAAAAAAAAAAAAAAAAAAAAAAAAAAAAAAAAAAGTCAAGGAATTCGAAAATTGACCAAAAAATTCAGGGAAAAGTAAGGAAATTTAAGTATTTTTGTCAAAATCTGGAAAAGTCGGGGAATTTCATATAACGATCCCGCCAAAAAAAGCGATTTTTGCGCCGAAGTCGGAAGAGATAACTTTTTTGGCGAATTGTGTATCACGTGAGTGTCATTTGGGCAGCTGGCATAGAGCCAATTTTCGCAGCTCCAATTTGATTGTCTTTTACAAAGGCAAAGCAAGTTTCCCGCAACCTTTGGTTTCCAGTATTCTCGGGAATCGCATGTGCAGTGCATGAACTAAAGAAAGTACTTGTTCTCGTATAAAACAAAATGGGTTTAATCCTAGTATACAGTACCATGGAGGTTAGAATCAAAGAATATGTATTGTAAAGAAGGAAAACCTCTCTGCAACAGACATGGCTTTGTTCCATCATAGAGAGAAACAGCTGTGCATGCGTGATATATCTGTCGCCAAAGCTCGAAACCGGTGTCGAAGTTCGAAGGTCACATTATCAAAAGTTCATAAAATGAATATCGTTTAAAATTTCTTTAACCACTTGCGCTAATAAAACGTGCCACGCACGTCAAGATGCTTTTGTCTCAAACCGCGAGCGACGTGAACACTACGTCGATAAGCATTTATCGCAAAAATGAAAATAACGTGGTGCACACGTCGCCTAACAACGAGATTGTTTATTTCTTGAGTTACAGCTCTGGATTGCACTCGCAGGTGCAGAGCGGCGTAAATGAGATACTTTACCTCTTGTTATATTGTAGCGCATGGCACCGCAACCGTGAAGTTTAGTCTTAGCGCAAGTGGTTAAACTCTAAAGGAAAAGAAAATATTTTTTGGCGCAAGTAAATTAATTCATGGATTAGTTATTTTCAGGGGAAAAAAAAAAAAACCTACGAAAATCCGTTTTTAAAATTATTGCGAAAAATCCAAGAAGAAACGTCCTTTGATAAAACGTTTCTTCTTGGATTTTTCGCAATAATTTAAAAACGGATTTTCGTAGTTTTCTTTTTTGTCAAAGAACGATTCTTCTTAACACGTGTTTCTCAATTTCCTGTACACATTGCTGAGAGGGAAATTCTGGCCGCCAGGTTCCGTTGCCAAATCCCTTGGCAAATTTTCCCTCCACATTCTAGCGGCGTAATAGCATTTTACCTATATGGAACCTTTTCTTCTTTACATAGACATTCTTTGGTTAGAATAATCTCCATGTATAGTACAATGGAATTTGGCGACATGATGATGCACAGTAAACGGGTCATTTTGGTCTTGGCGACAATTTTCAAAATCGTGCCAAAGCCTTACTGTATACTAGAATTTTACCGCAAAATCTTTTTAAACCTTTTTTCTTTCTTTTTAATGAATACCTTGCCATTTTGCAGTAAAATAAAAAAATAGTAATCAGTCATCTAGGCTAACAACCATGTAATATAACTATATTTGCTAAAATATCGTTAATTATTCTAATTCAATTTTTAAGTAATTATTTTTATGTTATTCGTATAATTTAATGTTGCTTCTTCCCTCTAAATTTATTTATTATTAGTAAATATATTTCCAAATTTCAGGAAATTTTCTCTGGCATAGTCCTGAAATTATTCTAGCAGTATGACGACATACCATCACGAAATTTAATGCACATATTTTTTCCTTATGTATGCTGCGCAATAAATATAAAATACATCAATTTATTAAAATAGATTTCTTTCTTTTCGTTTAGCTGCAGAATGTCTGCAAAAAAAGCCTTATTTTATTCCAGATTGGGAAGATTCTAATCTCAATCTTCAGTGGAGAAAACAACTATTATAATTATATTTGTGTTTTCAAGTTGTTGGCCTTTTTAAGAACATACCTCACACAAATTAAATTTACTTAAAATCTAACCTATTTAGCATTGCGTTGTGATTTATAAGGACCAATTAGCCTCGTCTTGAACTGGTGATGATCATGAGTAATAATTAAATAAACATGCATTTGTTATCCAATGTATATATCTTAAATTTTATTAAGTTTCTTAAGTGGAAAGTAAACAAAATTATCAAACAAAGTATACCAAGAATAATTAAGAATAAATGTCCTCTGGGATTTGTTGAATAATTAATACAATAGAAGTAATACCATAACTAATTTACCTCTTAGCCACAGCCAACGTACATTATGCGGATAGACTGGAATTTTCTTGAAACACACCTGGAAAAGTCAGGGAATTTCATTCTCCTGTTTGAGTGGCAACCCTGAGTAGGGAAGTTGCATTTCTTCAATAAATTTTCCACTAACATTGTTATGAATATTTTTAATTTATGGTCTAATAGCTTCATCACTCGGAATTTTGCATACAACAATGTCATCATTGCATATATGGAAAAGCTCCTCATCACTTTCTGAAAATATTGAAATACAATTCCTTGTAACCACTTAGGCAAATCTGCATTTTCCTCTTTACTAAAATTTGGGTCGGACTAAAAAGTTCTTTCATTATAAACCAGGTTCATTGTAGAGGGGTTTTATTACATTATAGAACAAGCTTACAGATTAAGATAACATTCCAGTGCACATTCACATATCAAATTAAAAACTCTAAAAAAACTCCCTACATTTCCCCAAAAGTAGCTCGGCTGGCTGACGAGATATTCATATACAAGCAAAGATAAGGATCTTTTTTTTTCAGTTAACTTGTAAAGCACAGTGGATACTTAATTAGATGGGTTTTTTTTTTGGGGGGGGGGCTCTGTGATCACCTAAAAGATTTATGTAACAGTTTCTATCTCCAGTGCTCAAACTATCCTAAAAATATTCCCACCTATTTTTAAAAAGTATGTAATTGGAAGTACATATCTGAGGTAAATACACTCATGTCCATAAATTAAGGATAATTCGGAGTCACATGGAAATCAAACTCTAAAATAAATATATCACCTGTAAAATCACTACACACATCTTCAAGAATCATATGCAAATTTCAGGAAGTAACCAGATGACACCCATGGTACTTTACAATGACGAGAGTGTAAGAGAGTGATATATAAGGAATACAGGGAAAGAAGTAAAATTGTTCGCAGGCGCTTTATAAGCATTTCAGTGCAATAACCAAATAGTTTTGACACAAAGGATGCATTTGGATGATTTTTTACATGGTAGAATTATCAGCCGTCTAGAATGTGGGCGTATCGAACTGGAAGTATCAGACGAACTTGGAATTGCCCAGAGTGTCATCTCCAGGCTTTGGCAACGATTCCAAGATGATGGTAATGTGAGTAGACGTTACAGCACAGGTCGCCCCAGAGTTACAACTCCGAATGAGGACTGGTATTTGGCAGTTACTGCCAAAAGAAACACAGCCTCAGACCTGTCTCGTCAGCTCTCTTCAGCCACTGTACAGTACGACAATTTCAAGGCAGACCGTGTACAGACGCTTAGGGCAGATTGGTCTATATGCTCGTAGACCTGTTAGATGTGTTTCACCTACTGCAATTTACTGTCGCCTGCGGTTAGCGTGTAGTAGAGAGCATGCATTGTGGACACTGCAACAGTGGGCTTGTGTGATGTTTTCCGAAGAGTCAAGGTTTAGCTTGCAGTCTGATTCTCGCCGGACTTTCATATGGAGAGCTCCAGGTACCCGTTACCACCAAGAAAACATCATTGAACGACACCATTACGGTGGTGCAGGAGTGCTCGTTTGGGGTGGAATTATTCTGGGTTCCAGAACTGACCTGCATGTTCAAATTGGAACCATGACAAGCCAAATCTATCGGGACGTCATTCTGGAACAACATGTACGTTTGTTTCGGGGCGCCATGGGCACACAATTTGTGTTTATGGATGACAGCGCCCGTACTCACCGCACAAACATCGTAAGGGAATGCCTTCATTCGGAGGATATCATCCTTATGGACTGGCCAGCATTCTCACCTGACTTGAATCCAGTAGAGCACGTGTGGGATATGCTTGGCCGACGAGTTGCAGCCCGTCAACCTCCTCCTACATGTCTACCGGAACTTCGGAGAGCATTGCTTTTTGAGTAGTGTGATATATCCCCCAAGATCAGATCGCTAATTTGATACTCAGCATGCCTAGGCGTTGTACGGACTGTATTGCATCGTCTGGGAGACATACAATGTATTAACAATCATACCAACCATGTAATATTGATTTTTTGCAAATAGGTATTTTTTGTAATTTGCTCCAGGGAGAAAAAAATCGCTAATTTTTTTAATACTATCAAACATATAGCATCTTTTTTTGCTTTTTACCTTTTGTTTAATAAATAAGCTTTACAAATAAGTCAAATTTGTTTTGCGTCTAACTCTTCCTTTGCCTGATTTTGCATTATCCTTAATTTATGAACATGAGTGTATGTAAGAAGATAAAGTTTGTAGGCACTTTTTATGAACATTTGGTATGTTGTGCAAGAAAATATTTTTTTACTGTACAGATTTTTTCTGACAAAATTCTAACTTATATTTAGAAATAGATAGTTTTTAGTGATACACTGGTTTAAGCCTCATTTTTACTTCCTTGTACGAAGTAAAAAGGAAGTATTGTAATCGTGAAACATTTTCAGTATATTTCAAAGAAAATATCCATTCTGACTGCTATTGAATGCAATTTAATGATGTTCTTGTGTGACATCTGTACGTAAGGACATAATACAGGCTCCCCCCCCCAAAAAAAACTATAAAACTGATTTAAAATAGATTCTGAAGAGATTTTTCATGTCGTCTGTACGTGTATCTCGCATAACTTAAAAATTAGTAGCCGCCTCAGAAAGTTGAAATTTTGTATATAGGACCACTATAATATGTAAATGTGCACCTCCTATTTTGGTTGCAATCGGCCGCACCAAAAGTATATAAATATATATATTTAAAATATGACTGCTGTGCATAAAAATTAAGCTTAGCCATACTTAAACAACTTTTTAAATTGTTGATAATTCTACAACTATAACATGCAGGTTAACTAAAGCCTTAACTGGAAGATAAGACCGAACCTTAATAAGAACAACATAACTCAATCATTTCTAAAGCAAAAAATGCACAATTTACAAACATATGAGGGAAAAACAAATACAAAGAAACTGAGCCCGCACCAAAAGTATATAAATATATATATTTATATAATAGCTCAATATATATTTAATAGCTTTATATAATTGACTCAGCATAGCGTCCAATATAAATTCAGCTTCTATGCCTTCAGTGCCTTTTTGTCAAGTGAGACCAAAAGTAAGCTTTCAGTTTTGTGCGCTGAAAAATCTTGTCTTCTTGCCCGCTGGCCGAATCGCTTGATATTGCATAGAAACTGTAATTAAAATTGTAAAAATTTAAAACAATTTTTTAACTGTATTTGGTGTTTTATGTTTTTCTATATCTTTAACTTTTTAATGAAGGTATTTTGTGTTTTTATTATTTTTGCCTTGCCGCGAAGTGAGAACTGAATTAATTGAATGCGAAACACATCTCTAATGAAATTCGAGGAAATAAGTATCTCATATTAGCAGAAAATACTGTCACCAGTCTGTTTCGAATAGATGAGAATGTTTACGAATAGCGCATGCAGAATAGAACATGTGGCAATGATTAGATAATTCTTCAGATGATATAATTTTGTTGCATTCCGAGTTATGAATAAGACGTAACACTGTTAAGTGAACCTAGCTCCAGAGTATCGCTATAGTAAATTAATAGTGAATTTTAAAAAGTGCATTTATTCTGTTGTGGTTTATATGCTATCAACGAAGTATATTTATAATGCAGGAAAAAATGCATATAATATGCATATATGGATTTCATGTGTATACCATATGTGGGCACATCAAATTGTTTTTAACAAAAAAAAATTAATGTTCTGTGTCTGCACACTTTCGTTTTGTAATTAGAAATATGCTGATCCATTTCTCTTTTCCTCTCTAAAACAGGTGGAAGAAAGAAGAAGCCTGTAATGCATAATGTTTTAACTGATGTAATATAATGATTGTATATTATGAATATTTCAATAAATGTATGTTTTGAACTTGTTGTATAAAAACAGTTTATTCAAACAAGAGACTAGAATTAAAAATATCACATTTTCTATGAAACATCAGCAATACATATGAAAAGGAAAATATTCAAAAGAGCTGCATCCTGTCATTGTTCTAAAGTTATGCTTCTCGTAAATATACACATTTTAGTGAGCAGAAATTTGCTTAACGCAATTCACGTAGATTGTAAAGTTTATTATTTCATTACAATGTTCTTGTATTTCTATTGTAGATCTAATAGTAATGCTACTTCTATGGTTTTCGTTATAAACTTGCTTTCAAAAATGATTTTGCAACTTTATAATATGTGGAAAATAAGTGTGCAACTAAGAACAAGGCAACATTTTGCTGTTAATTTCATTAATATAAAATTGTGCCATTTTTGCAGTAATTTGATTTTTTTATAAAAGTGTTAGAAGTATAAGAAGAGTTATTATTTATAGTCCCATTAATTACTGGCTGCGCTGGTGACTTTGACAAGCATGGTGATTTTACAGTTGTAGCAGATGAATTTAAGACTAGTTCCAGTTCTTGGAAATTGCAGAACCGCATGACATCTTTATCTTTCCGAACAACTGTATTAGGAAGTTTTCTGAATTTCAGAACCTGAAACGAACAAAGCATCAGTATATATTAAGAAATGTCTGCTAAACACAAAATTAAGCTACAGAGTTTTAAATTTCAATGTAATATAATGTTTAACTCTACCTCATATTCGTGAGTAAACAATCAACTGACATGTGAAACATAAGTTTAATGTTAACAGATAGTTAAATATTAAAATATCTGTATTTGATTAGGATTTTGAACTAGGATTCTATGAAAAGAACTGCCATTGTGTAGAATGTTTTGATGAAAACAAACTCTTTTTGTAATAACAGACACATATCCTTAATTGCTGGAAATTTCTTATTTTAAATAAATCTTTACTTTTGAAAATACATTTTGCTATTTTTTAACAATTTTGAGTTTATTTAAGTAATATGTGTCAAGAATTGATTCGCCTGCAACTGTTTTGACACTGAAACCAGGCAAAGTTTTCTGCGTCTTCGCAGAATTCCGCTGTTTTGAATGTCACCCGGGTTGTTTCTGAGATCGATGTAGAACCGTTGAGAAATTGCGACCTGCAAATGTGGAGGGGTGGGGTAAACAGAGGACACGCTCTCTCCCTCTTTTCTTCGTAAAAAAACTTTACATCATGACAGAGATCGCGAAATACAGTCAAAAGTCATTAATTCGGACACCCATAATCCGGACCTCAAAGCTACAAACTTTCTGCGCATGCGTCGAATCGCCTTTATGGCTGCGCGTGCACAAAATACATTTACGAATGCACGTTTAATGTATAACGGACGGTGTAAGCTAAGCTAAAATTATCTAATTATCTATTTCAGTTAATGTTGCAGATTGCGTTGTTCCTTAATCTTCGAATTGGATCCGGCTTATTTTTTGCAGACTGTTAGAGCAATTTTATAAAAAGTAAGCTTGAACTTTCGATCATGTCAAATAGAATTTCCGACTTATATTTACTAATATGTAACGGATCTACAAAGCGAAAGAATAGTTCGGAGTCCATTAAACAAAAAGTGGAATTGCTGCAAAAAATTAATAAAGGCAGATCCTTTGTTTATCTTTAACGCCACGGCCATGCAATGAATTGGAAGTTGATCTGCCAGCACTATCCTTATCTTCAGGGCATATGTTTTTATTTTATTTGGCTTATAATTGCTTACTAAATGTAGTATTTCATTTCGATGTACTCCGTCTTTGATATGATTTAAATCAAATGCCTCATCATTATAATTCGCTTCCGATAGCGAAGAAAGTGACAGAGGTTATTGAAAACGAAAAACTTTCGATTGACAAATTAGTCGGTATTCTCGACACAGCAATTATAGGACTTGAACAGCAGAACTTTGTAACTGAACAAGAAATTATATCTGTTTATAGAATTAAAGAGAATGTATTATCACATAAAAAACGAAGCAACTTAAACAACTTACATTGAAAGAAATGTTTAGTAAAGTAAACAAATAAATTTTGATACATTTTAGATCATAATTCTTCTTTATTTCATAAATTGCGGTTTGATAATTTTAATTTTATAATTTCTGCATGCCATTTTACCAGATTTAAACTGATGATCTATAATCCGGAATCGCCGAAGTCCCGACGAGTCCGGATTAACGACTTTTAACTGTACGTTGTTTTACATTAAGGCGAAGTAGGTGGGGCTTATGTGGAAAGTTCAATAATTTCAGTGATCGGTGCGGGCGCCATCTGTTGGACATACAGATAACCACTTGCATTTTCCAGTACGCAAAACTCTACGTAAAAATTTAAGGAATGCTCATAAACTGTACAAAGAAGAGCTAGAGATAAAAAAGGAAGAGCAAAAATAAATAATAAATAAAAAAAAAAAAGCAATTATACATTGCAGAAAATAAAAAAGTATCAATGGATTGTATAAAAGGTGCTGAAAAGAAATTGAGACTAGCTCGCAAACGGAAATTAGAAAAGTTGGCTGCAAAAGTAGCAAAAAAGAAAAAGCTTTTTCCCTAAAAATTTTTAATCAGGATCGAGTGAGACAGACAAAATAGTTATTTTTTAAATTCTTCCTTTAACTATATGTTATGTTATTTTGTAACTATATTATCTCGCATGTCTGCTTTTTCTGGTGTTATATACTGTTTATTGAACTAAAAGTGAAGATAATTGAAAGCTATAGTAACAGTTATATATATATATATACATTATCTCTAAAACTTGTCATTGCCTGGAAATGGGCAGTAATACGTAGCGTATTCGGAAACTAAGTACCGTTTCATTCTAGCGCCGTCGCAGCGCTGTGGTAGGCGTCCCGCGCATGCGCACTAGTCTTTCTTGTTCACTGACTTTTAATTGTTGCCATTTTGGTTGCTCTATGTTGTGTTTTCAGTTTGCTGTGTACATTCAAAATGTTTAAGACAATTAGTTCTCCCGCTGACTGCGAGATTAGTGCCGTGATTAAATTTTTTAACGCGAGGAATGTTCAACCGGCCGATATTTATCGTCAAGTGACAGAAGTTTACGGTGAATACGCGATAAGTGATGGAATGGTCAGAAAGTGGGTAAGAATGTTTAATGCAGGTCGAACAAATGTCCACGCCGAGGCTCAGAGTGGTCGGCCTTCTGCTGTCACCGATGATTTGGTAAGGAAAGTTGATGAAGCAATTCATGAGAACAGACACTTCACAATGATAACTCTTTCAGAGGCATTTCCACAAATTTCACGTACTGTTTTGTTTGAAATTGTGTCTGACCGCTTGAATTATCGCAAACTGTGTTCCCGATGGGTTCCAAAAAATGCTCACTGATGTTCACAAAACAAAGCGACTTGGTAGTGCTTCTGACATTTCTCACGTGGTACACAGTGATGAGGGAGGAAACTTTTTAAAACTAAATTGGACAGGTGGATAAACTTGGGTGTGTCATTTCACACCAGAATCGAAACAACAATCGATGGAGTTGGAGACACACTCATTCTCCGAAAAAACAAAAGTTCAAAGTGACAATGTCATCACAAAAAATCATGTGCACTGTCTTCTGGGATAGGAAAGGCATTTTGCTTACTGAATTTCTTCCCACCATTAATGCGGCACGATATTGTGAGACTTTAACAAAACTAAGGCGTGCCATTCAAAACAAACGAAGAGGAGCTCAGTAAAAGAATTGTGTTGCTCCATGACAATGCTCGGCCCTATAGTGCTGGTGTCACTCAATCGTTAATTCGACAGTTTCATTGGGAGCAGTTTGATCACCCGCTGTACAGCCCGGACTTGGCGCCGTCCGACTATCACTTGTTCCTGCACATGAAGTGCGAGCTTGGTGGCAAGCGCTTTGGATCTGACGATGACACGAAAAATGCTGTTGAGTTGTGGTTATCGAAACTGGAGGGAAGTTTCTTTGACGATGGTATACAAAAACTGGTCACCCGCTATGACAAGTGCTTGATCATTGGCGGAAACTATGTTGAAAAATAGTTTAAGACATGTATTTTCATGTAAAAATAAAATTGGATTCGAAAAAATTGTTTTACTGTTTTTTTTTTTTCCAAAACGGTACTTAGTTTCCGAATACGCCTCATATATAACATAAATATGTATATTAGTGTGTTGTAATGTTGTGTATAGTATTCATGTATCAACTGTTAAATTAAGTTACATAAAGAGCATCTTAAAGAAGGTTAATTCATTACAATCTCTTGGTGATTTACTGATTTTTTTTTTTTTTTTTTTTACAAGTGGAAGATAAAATTAATAGCAAAATAGTAAGTACAAGTATTATTTTAGTTTAATTATATGTATATGTTTAATACTTTTTATATTAAAAGTTTGATATTTTATTAAAATGTGGTTTTTTTTAAGGTCACGCGTGCGCATTTAGTTTTTGTGTAATTTTGTGTCCGCATGATGTTCAGCTTTTTTTGCCACTTTCATGCCTGATTGAAACTTAAATGCATTTGATAGTATTAGCGAGCCCAACTCACATTCCAATTATGCACCACAGTAGACTCAAACAAACGCAACTCATTTTAGAAATTTCTGCCTAAATGGTAATGAATGAGTCTCATTCGCAATTAGATTTTTTCCGCAATGCAAATTGCACTCGTTCCTTCAAAATAATCGTGTTTTTTAGTATTACAAATGAGTTAAATATGTAGATTGGTTGACTTTATTTGAAAAGATGGAATACTAGATAATTTCATGCATAATAAGTTTCAGTTAGTGTTTTCAGGAATTTTTAGCGTTGTATTTTGAACATATTATAACTAGAAGCACTTTTTTTTTAGGGGGAAGGAATGAAGAATATGATTCTGAGGATGCAAATCTTGTATCAAATAATGAAAATAATTTGCATTTGGATAAATGTATTTGTTTTTAAAATTTGGAATATAGTTTGAGTGCAGATGATTCTATCAGTATGAAATGAGATATTCTGAACCATTCTATGACTTAAACTTAATTTTTAAAATGTACTGAAGATTGCACAAACAAATCCTAGAGTCTGCAATCTTCTGATGTTTTTCTAAATGAAAATAGATATCTGTATGCTTTGGGAGAAGAGAAGGGGGGGGAATAAAGATTCGAAGAAGAATGCGTTTTATTTTATGTTTTATCCTTATTTAAAAATTAATATTTTTATTTTAAATTCCCAATTGTATTTACCCACATGATTTCTTATTATATACAAAACACACTGTACATAAAGACAAATACACGTACAACTTCCACGACTGGCACTTACGGTCTCCCCACGTCTACACTCTATTTGCGTGTCAATTCTAAGTTCGACTGCAATTAAGTTCTTGATACACCACACTAAAGTATGTTTTTTTCTCCTATGTTCATATTGTTTACCAAACGTACGATAAATATTGATAGTCACCCATAAAAAATCAATTTGTGCCAAAATAGTTGCGATAGTATGCAAATACCCATTTTTTAAAATTTTCTTAAAAGTCAGTGTAAAATAAAAAATAATAACTTCCTGTAAAGATGCATGTATATTTTCCCTTTGAAAAAGGTCTCTATTTTTTTTTTTTTTTTTTTTTTTTTTTGCTCAGA